TAAGAAAAGGTTTTATATAGCATAATCAAAATGAGCCGATTTAGGTTTAATATGCACCGATTTGTCCAATTACTTTTTGACATTTTGAAGGTAGTTTTATAACGCCACTCTCATAGGAACCCTCATGCCTATTGGCAAATAATTCGACAGTCGATTTTCACAAGCTTCACTAATTGTTCACGAGCAAAATCATTCGCCATAATCAGAAACAGGTTGTAATCACTCGGTGTCAGGCCCGCACAATCAAGCTGTAGGCATAAAAACCTCCCAACTAAGCGCCCAGAACTTTTGGTGTGTCACTATCGATGTGTGTGGCCTGACGTTGTCATCTTGGCACACAATTCTTCTTCTATTGACCACAGCGGGTCGCGCCAAGGCCATTACTTCTTTCCTAAGGTTCAATTGTTGATAGTAAACATACGAATTAGGAGTTTACCACAGTGGAGCAACCCAGTATAGTATTAAGTTAATTAATTAAAGTGGCAACTCTGCTCGAATTTTTATCTAAATTCTAAATCTAAAAAAATTAATATTCTACAGCCAAAATTTAACGTATTTGTGTTTATTTTTAAATACATTTTTTATAAAATTAGGTGGCAACTCTAGAAAAAATATATATATAATTATATTACAATGTATTATTTGGATTTCTTTATAAGTTTAAAATATTAATTAATTAAAAACTAATAAAAAAATAAAATGTAGAAAACGATTTTTTTTAGTCTGGTAACATAAAAATATCAATTACTTAATTTCTATTACAAAAGTGTAAAAACCAAAAGTAGCTTTGCAGTACAAATGCAATGTATGCACTAAAAATTGCTGAATTAAATTTTTTGCTTCACAAAATCACAACGCCTTCTCGCATTCAGGAGAAACTATTCGCAAACACAGTGACATTTAAAACTGAAAAAGAAATAGAATACGTGAAACGAACGAGCAACGCCCACTTGCATAGATCACCAGCACATAGCGGACCACAGAGGACGTGGGAAATTGCAAGCTCAGTAGTTTGTAGCGCATTTGCAGTCCAAACTTGAGACACTTGCAAACGGTAAATACTTTAAAATGCAAAATAAAACTAAATGAGAATAGAAGTAAAGAAGAAGAATGTCTAAACTAAGTGAGTGTATAGCTTTTGACTGTCAGCAGAAACAAGAAATTTATATACAATAAATAATGTACATATAATTTTTTCTAAAAACAAATACAAAAACAAAGCTGGCGAGCAAAACGAGCACAATGTAACTAGAATATGGTTATTATAGTTTCGTGTTGATATGCAATTTAATGGCAAAAATCTGAGATCAAGACCAACAAGTGCCATGAGACAAAAGAATTAAAAAATATATTTGAGTTAAAAAATGCCGCTGCAGCAGCGATTTCTACAAAGGCACTGCTAAAGTTACTCGCAAGTAGGAAGCGAGCGGCGAGTTAACTGCGGTGCGCAGTGTTGCATGCACAGCAATTCTTACGCTAGAAGACAATTGGTAAGCCACTTTTATTGTCTCGTTTTTACTCTAATTTATTATTATTTTTTTTATCATTTTTGCATGCATCAAATTGCAGATTTGCACGGAAGTGCGCGCAGCGTTGACAGTTAATTTTAATGATGCACGAAATTCAGAACGCACGTGCTGGGCGAAATATAAAAGCAGGAAAAGCAGATGAAAGTAAGCCAGTAAGTGATATTGTTGAGCATCTTTCACACACTTTTGACAAGACATTTAAATATTTTTCTGACATTTTTATTAATATAACAAGATAGCTTAATAAATACGAATGGATATACAGTGGTGATGAGAATAATTGCAATGCAAGCGGAGTATGAAGATCTCAATCAAGTAGTTACAACTCTAAATAATCTACTCGATCCCACCTTTTAACTTTTCCTTTTATTTTTTTTGAACTTCAACTACAGTAATTGTTAATGAAACACGACTTCAGCCGTTTTCAACTTTGAAGAAGAAAAAGATTGTTTCTGTACTGAAAATAGGAAATCTTGTTCCAAGAAAAGCTAAAAGTGAACTCTATGTGTTAGCAATGCCAATATAAGCTAAAGTCTCCGATAATTCAAAAATAACTGCAGATGTTGTTTGAACTGACGTACTTATAGCGTCCAACTGGTCAAAAATATATTCTAAGCTATAAAAATTCCATATTTGAGAACGAAATTTGTCATTCCTACGACAGTAAGTAACCAGGATATATATGTTAATTTAAGGTATATATGGTACACACGGATTTATATCCAAAGCATACTTTTAGGATTGCAAAAACTTGGTTATACGAAATTCAGATCTCAACTTGACATAAAAATTTGAGTGAATATAAACTATTTCACAAGTCGTCGTATAAGGTCTAGTCAAAATAAATCCATTATGTTTCTAATAGTTGGCTTTAGTAACCGTTATCTTACGTTGTATAAATAATGCACTTTATGACGTTAGAAATATAAAATTTCCTATTACAAACAATTTTCAGACTGTGATCTTCTACTATGAGTTCGGTTCTGTACTGTCAACAGTTGTACCGTCTTAAGTAAACGATCGCGTAATTACTTTTTGTTCTTGTGTATGACGCATGATTTTGTTAGTGAAAAATTCGCCTCTAGAGAAGCTGGCGAAAATCGACTGTTCCAGCTTATATGTAATAAAAACGAGGTTTTCTATGAGAGTATCATTATGATACTAACATCAAAATGGCAACAAGTTATCGAATAAAACGATGCATATTTGACTTAAATTAGATCATTTTAACTATGCCCAATTTAATGAAAATTAATTTTCTTTTTTTTATATTATTAGTGTTATTGAAAAAATATATTTATTTATTAACTTTTTTTTAAAATTTCAATACATAAAACGCTTATTTTAATAATCTGAATATTTATAACAACACTGTAACTATTTACTATGCGCTCGTTGCACAATTGACATAGTTTTTAGCGCTTCTTGCATGTCTTGCATTTCGCTCGCTCCATAAAAATGAAGAAAATAACGAATTTCACACGGAAATCTCATTTTGTTTGTTGCAACGTAAGCGCGTTATAAAAATCATCAGAGAAATTGTTGGTGAAAAAAG